CCTTCTGACCCTAGAAACTATGAAACTATGAAACTTCCAATTAGCTGAACAAATTAGTTTCAGGTTCTGTAATAAAAAAATATCTTATGAGCTGACTATTGTATGTTGGGTTTCAGCCCTTGATTGAGGACATTTTTACTGCAGAATTATAACAGCTGGAAAACAGGTTTTATATTGTACTATAAGCAACATGCCGACACATTTCTTAGCTACTAAGGCCAAAAACAGAGCTATAATATTGCCTGTGTGTGTTTAGGCTGAGTTATGCTGGTACATTAGTGATGTGTATCATGCTAATCCAGCAAAACATAAAGACCATTGTATCTTTTGTGACTTCTACCGCACTGGTACCATTAGGGATTTGCATTGGTAATATAACAGCTAGCAGCAAACAACCCAGAGAATTGTTAGATGTGTCCTGCTTTGAGACCGTCGACTCAGCCCTGCAAATAACTAAAATTCCCCAGCCACTTCTGTGACTTCTGGAGGGGCTCAAAACCTTGCACAAAGGAATCAGCACCATGGAGGCCTAAGAAAGCTTTTCACTTCATCGTCCTGAAAATGCTATCGTAATGCACAATGATGGTTTCAAACAATTTAGTTTATTGCAGCATTCTGGACTGTTAACTTAGACTGCTGTAAGGTGTGTGTACAATGTATTTACTTTGGATTTAATTATTGCTTTTAAATAATAATGTAATTAAATAGTTTCATTTCCCCATTTTCTTCCCTCCCCTTGATTTTTTCTGAATCCTGTGGGTTTTGGGTCACCACCTAAAGTAACTCTGAAGCAAAATTTGTGTCATGGTAAGCCAGACGTTTCTCTCGAAATCAGTACTCTGCTTTACCAGCACACCTTACAGAATTAGAATTTGAGAGAGTGAATGTACTTTTCACCATTTAAAAGTTTGGTTTACCAATGCAATTCACTCAGTTTGCATGCTTAAAATAGACTACTCAGTTTCATTTTCTTGTTCTGGTGCAGTAATACATTGTGGTTTAAATCTCTGCATGGAATAGATTCAATACAAATACATTAAAAAAGAAACGAAAATGAATTAACTATTTCCAGTAATCTTTGTAAACCTTCCTCCACTCCCCAAAATTATTTTAGGGCCTAAAATCAGAGCACAACACTGGTTTGCTAATATGCCTCAGTCAGCTGATATGCATTTAGATTCTGCATAGCCCTGTGACATTTGGTATTGACTGCCTTGCTATTTATTATTTATTAAGCTCTGCCAGTGTGAGCGTTCTCAGTGCTGTTGTGGCTCATTTATTCTTTTTCTTGTATGTGTGCATGCATGAGTGGGTGGTATGGTATGGGTTTTAAATACATTGCCTCTGAAAGGCACTTGAATCCTGATGTAAGCAGTGGCATTTGGGGTTGGCTGAGGTCCCTCCCCTTTTTATAAACATGGACCTTCAGAAGAAAGCTTTCAGGCTCTGAGACCCCATCTGTCTTAAAGGTTGCACCATGCTATTGACATCCATGCTTAAAAATGGCTGTCAGACGAGGGCCTAGCACAGTTTCTTTGTGCATCTATATGGACTAGGTTGTTTTTTGAGAATCATACTCTGCACTTTGAATTCTGCCATGCCTGTCAGATGTGTGATTTCTGACACAGTTGTGCTGGCTGAAATTCCTGGTGTGGGTGCATTTATGCCAACAGAACTGCACTTTCCCCCTCAAAGCTTGTTTCACTTCGGAGGTACAGGGTGAGAGTGGAAAAATCTGTAAGGTGAAAGCACAGTTTGGCAGCTTAAGTTAAATGCATACTCAGGGTGCTCTCTTGATATAGCATGTGGGTACTGCACAGCTATGATGAAGTCTGTAACAGAATTAAGTCTGAACAACACTTCTTTTGCATCCACGGTAGTCTGAGAGTCGCACAGAAGCCTATAGAGATAGTTGGAAAGAATGCTAAAACCTGTTTAAAGCCAGAGGGTGACATCCTGCCCCTGCTAAAGGGAGTGGGATATTTGCCATTGACTTCAGTGAGGCCAGAATTTTACCCGGTTGATGACACTGCCTTCCAGGAGAGTTTTTTCATAGTACAGACAAAATATAAACCACACTAACAGGTCATTCACATTACACTTACTGGTTATATTTACTAGGGGAATCTGATAAACAGCTAGGTCCAAACTGTTTCTGTGATTACCACAAAGCAACCCTTCCACCTGGAATATTCCCACATGTAAAAACCTGCTATCAAGGAACCGCTCATCCTCAGTGCTCCAGAGTTGGGGATCTCTAGTTGAAGCAAAAGGTGTGCATTCAAATGGGGTGACAACCATGTGAGATTTTTTTGGTCAGTACAGACAGGGCCTGTTTGTGCTCTCTGCTGTCTTGCATTTAAGGAGGTGGAGGAGGAAATCTGCTGGAGAGGAAGTTGAACTTCCTGTGCTGGAGTTTTTATAGTGGAGCCTTCCCTGAATTCAAGACAATGCAGCAACAGCCTCAGATAAGAATCAGTGGGAATAACAGGCACACAGGACTTGACTGCCTGCCAAAAAGACCCTTTTCAATCCACTGCTGTGGTTTGGAAGTTGCTTGTTTGTAAATTCATACCATATCAACCTGACTCATTTTGGGATTTACCAGTTTTCTATTTTCTCCCACCCCACAAACTGAAAAAAAACTCCTCCTGCAAAGTTTCATTTCTCTGCACTTATGTAGTGATTAAATTTGGGCATCTGGTTTTAGATGGGCATGTGGGTTCATAACTGCAGAGGCTGAGCTGTGACAGAAACAGGAACTAATATGGCCCATTTGCAGGAACAGGATCTCAGTAGATAGACAAGCAGTGTATGTAATAGCAGGGCGGAGGGACACAGATACACCCAGTGCTTGGATCTATGGATATATTTGACATTTTTTCCTAAATAGACAAAGCGCCAAATTAACCCAACTGCCCATCAAACCATCTTTACTGGATGATTTTTATCAGGATGCTCTTTACAGATGCAGTACTTAACCAGCAGAGTGGTTTCTTACGTATCAGTGCATGCAGGGTGCTCTTGTGTAAGAAGCTGCAGAGATACTTGTGTGAGAATCTGATAATTGCAGGCCATAACGTAGGCCAGGATCAGTAAAAGTTAAAAGCAGGTTTAAGACAAGCAAGGCTGATATTGCTGATGAAAAGGGAGGTGAGAACATGATAAGAATAAGCAGGGAGATGTGCAGCAGGCTTATGTCTTTGCAGTTCATTCTCCTTTCCGCTCTTGTTTATGTTTAATTGCATTAAATTGCATCTTTCTACATGTTGGTACTGTTCTCCCTAAGACACTGAGATCAGATGCCTAACCCAGTGTCCATTGAACAAGGCTTGAGGACTGTGATACTATTTGAGTGACTACACCAAATATAAAAATAAATAATATTTCTAAAGCTCTTTCTATGCATAAAGGCACTTGTGGTGTTGTGTGATAGAAATATTATTGGTATTTCATTATAAGCATCAGAAGTTTGCCACTGGACAAGGCACAAAATAAAAACAGTTTCTGTCCTGAGGAGCTTATAATTTCAGTAAGACAAACACAGATAAGACAGAATACTTTGGGAAGTCCAAAGGAAGGAATAAGTAAGATATTTTTATTATTAATATCGTTGCATGTATTATGCTATTGCTATTCCTGACTCAAGTCTACAATTCATGCTCTAGTAACTGTACAAAGTAAGGGCTTAATATTTGCTCTTGATGACAGAGCTTTTTGATTGATTTCTGCTGGAGACGAATCAGTCCCTGATGAAATATAGTTTTCTTCATGGTGTAGGATCATGGAAATTTGAGATGGGAAAGACCTACTCAGTTTTAAGGCTAGAACAGCATTGTTCCCTGCACATATTTGTTACTCCAACCAATTTCTCAGAACCCTCACAAGGATGATCTCTTACCCAAGGAATATTTATACAGCACCTTTCACCCAGATGCATCATAAGGGGCTTTGTAGCTCATATGCATTTGATTTTCAAGTGGTTCATTCAGTTTTGAATAATGAAAAGCAGGAGTATCACTCTCCTTTCTCTCTCCCCTCCACCCACTTTTTTCTGGTTTCCTCTTCTGAATTATCTCATCAGAGGGACACAGATCAGCACCATACTATGCAGGCCCCTGAAATCACAAAGCTGTGTTGAACTCTCACTATGTGAGATGATGCAACATCAGTCTAAGTGGTGCAATAAAAAAAAAGGCATAGGTAGCACTGACAAAGCATACAGTTTACCAGCACTGTTTGAGAAGGTAAACAAGGTGAAGGTGATTATCTGGATCGCATCACATTTCCCATGGACCATGTTCTGCAACTCTTCATTATGGCACCACATGCAATAGAAACATGCTGAATAGCACAGTTGAACTGGACCTGTGAGTTACAGCACATACCATATAATAGCATTATATTATATTCCCAACCTTTTCCTGAAAGCTTTTTTGCTGCGGGAGTACCAGGGAAATAAAATGCTACAGACTCAAACCTCCAAAATAGTCATAAGTTACAGTACTAATTTTCACATTACTGGGTTTCCTTGTCGCTGCTGTAGAGTGAACCGTTCTGCCTTTGGTGTTGTTCAGACACATTGTGAGAAACGGTTCTTACTCCCTAAAAGTTTCTGTCAAAATAGACAAGTCTGATAAAAAGTGAGAGAAAGGAAATATTTTCCCCACATAGAGAACTGAGGCCAGAGGTGGAAAATGACTTGCTGAAAGCAAGCTCTCCCAGGAAGCCCCTGGTACTTAGGAACTGTACCCAGATGTCCATTTTCCACTATGGTTTGTATCATCCTTCTTTTCACTGTTAACAACTTCTGGATCCCCTGGGTTGTTTTGTCCTCTGATTTTATATTTTTAGAGCATCAGCTCCTCAGGGCAGGCTCTGTTTGCGACCTGCACAATAATAAGGGCAAAACATGATAAATAACAGGGTGTGATGGTGCTTGCTGTAATGCAAGCATGCAATGAAAAGGTTCCTTGTTGCAAGGAAGTTTTCACTAGTGGTTACACCACAGGGCTAGAAGTTGGGAGTTCAAAGCCAGGTTTTCCAGATTTGCTGTTAAATTGGTCAAATCACTTGTCTTGCTTTCTACTCAATTTTTGTCTGCACAGTTAGGATAAATGCCTGCTTCACCAGCTGGGGTGGGGGCCAGTTCTTGTGAATTAGTGTTTAGAACTGCTTCAATGCATAATGTTTTGGAAATGCAAGGTATTAAAATTGTCAGGGTAAAAAGAGAAACTGGGGTTGGATTAGAACCGATCATTTTTCCAATTTATTAGTAACCATAGTATCTTTGCTGACAGTTAGTGTGCCTCACTCAAGTGCAAAATTTTGACCAGTCTGACTTTAGAGTATTCGGAGGTGGGGTGGGCAGGGGAGCCATTATGGGGCTGGGACAGTAGGGGGG